CGAGTGCCGTAAAGTTATGATAAGCACTATATAGTGTTGAACATATCATTTTGAACCAAACTCGAAATGGTTGTTGTTGTTGTAGCGGCTACAACAACCCCGCCCAGATCGGTTGGTATCTCAGTCGTTGCCGTCAAGTTCCACTAACGGCAACCCTAGGAAGCGTGCAGCTTCTGCGGGGTTTGCCCATAAGGACAAGGAAAAATCGCGCTGATTTAAAATATTTTCTTCTTCTGACTGCGTTTTGCGCTTTTGACAGATGTTCCATTGAAAATTACGTCAAAAAGCTGCAACTAACTTTACAGTCTTTATGTATATCTATAAATTATTTTGTACTTTTCAGTTGTTATTGTAATAACAGCGTGTTTTTAGTTAATTTAAACTATAATTTTATTTTCATATAACAAGCGCATGTTATACAAATTAGCATTGAGTATCTAATTTTTTTTACAAACGGTCTTGCGCATTTTATTAAACAAGAAATTCATGTTTCTAGTCAATAAGAACTTCCATTTGTTTTACTAGAATTTCATAGCCGATGTACCTAAATACCCAATTTTTTTTGAAAAAGTTAGATTAAAAACAATACAAATATTTAACACAAATCACCATGCACTCACTTTTGGTCGCCAGTGTATATAAAGGGTTTTCAATAAGCGCGGGTAGTTGTTGATGAGGAATCAACAAGCCGCCAGCATCTACCCGCTCTAATTGGAAACCCCTTTTGCATTTTGTATTATAATATGTACTTAATACTAGCAAATACCGGTCTCACTTCGTTGCGACCAATTATAGCTAAAATGTCTTAAATAAAGGCGTACGTTTAACTAAAAGTCTCTTTTATAATTTCTCGTATCCATTTAATAAAGTACATACATACATAAATTCCCACACAGATTGAAACTTGGATTTATATGGTTTTTGTTAAAGAATATACTATATTTTTATAAACAAATATTAAGATAAATAGGTCAAATCTTGTCAATAAGCGAGTGCCGTAAAGTTATGATAAGCACTATATAGTGTTGAACATATCATTTTGAACCAAACTCGAAATGGTTGTTGTTGTTGTAGCGGCTACAACAACCCCGCCCAGATCGGTTGGTATCTCAGTCGTTGTCGTCAAGTTCCACTAACGGCAACCCTAGGAAGCGTGCAGCTTCTGCGGGGTTTGCCCATAAGGACAAGGTCGTTAGGGATGTCGGGTTTGCCGGGCATGCGAAGAGATGTTTCGAGTCATGTGGGGTCTCTCCGCATGCCGGACATTCATTAGGCACATCCTCATTCAGCCTACTCAGGTAGGAGTTTAACCTGCTGCAGTAGCCGGAGCGAAGTTGTGCAAGACTCGAAATGATCTTGTTTGCTGCTTATCAGTTCATTCCCTCACAAATAACATAGAAACCCAAGTATAAAACTTTTTAGAACACTAAAAAAAATTTAACAAAATTTCATCCATTTTAAAACTTTTTTCTCAGAAGTGTTAGCACTTTTTTGAATGTAAATTTTTACAGCCCATTCATATTTATTGCAATAGTGTGCAAGCTTCAAATGGCTAAAAATTACCTTAGGTTTTTTAAATTTTTCTTCCTTCAGTGTTGTGCTTATTAGTTATATGGAAGCAACTGCGACAAAAAAAATTGTATGGGCTATAAAAATGTATATTCAAAACAATGCTAACACTACTGAGAAGAAAGTTTTAAAATGAATGAACTTTTGGTTATTTTTTTTTTTTAGTTTTATACAAAGCTTTAAACTCGGGTTTATGCGGGTTTTTTTTAGAGGATGAACTGCATTTTAATCGAAAAATCTTAAAAATTAGTAAGTAAACATAGATAAGTGGCAACAATATCATTTTGAGTTTGGTCCAAAATGATATGGCCAACAGTGTATGTACCTTGACACCAATAACACCTAGCGATATTCATTTTAACAAACTGGGTTTGTTATGTAATATTAATTGAAATAATTTCGTACTATGCTCTCCCGAACCCTTCTTCCTTGATTTAAAATATTGTCGTTTGAGCGATTTTCTTCGGAAAAGTCTGGTTCCCTATTTGAATTTGTAATTAGACATACGTCGGGAATAGTTAGATTATGCTTCAATCTGAAATTATGCAAAGTTAAGCAAGCGTTAATTACACTGTGAGACAAATGGTAGGGGTCAGTGATCGGGAAGGGTTCAAACTACCGGGGAAAGTTATATCGGTAAAAAAGAAGTTATACGTGTCCCGGCGTTTCGCTGGGTCACGTCTAGGAATCGAGATATATATATATAACTATCATATAGGGGAAATTGTCACCCTTGGTGGTCCGATTTTGCTCAAACAAATTTAAAAAAATTAAAAATTACAATTCCCTTAATCTGTTCATATAACGTTTTTCTGTATAATCAACAGTTTTAAAAAAATTTAATATTTTAGGCAAAAAATATTTGGTTTCTTCATACATTTATTTTTACCGGCAAAACTGTTGATTATATAGTCTTTCCATNAAAAATCTTAAAAATTAGTAAGTAAACATAGATAAGTGGCAACAATATCATTTTGAGTTTGGTCCAATATGATATGGCCAACAGTGTATGTACCTTGACACCAATAACACCTAGCGATATTCATTTTAACAAACTGGGTTTGTTATGTAATATTAATTGAAATAATTTCGTACTATGCTCTCCCGAACCCTTCTTCCTTGATTTAAAATATTGTCGTTTGAGCGATTTTCTTCGGAAAAGTCTGGTTCCCTATTTGAATTTGTAATTAGACATACGTCGGGAATAGTTAGATTATGCTTCAATCTGAAATTATGCAAAGTTAAGCAAGCGTTAATTACACTGTGAGACAAATGGTAGGGGTCAGTGATCGGGAAGGGTTCAAACTACCGGGGAAAGTTATATCGGTAAAAAAGAAGTTATACGTGTCCCGGCGTTTCGCTGGGTCACGTCTAGGAATCGAGATATATATATATAACTATCATATAGGGGAAATTGTCACCCTTGGTGGTCCGATTTTGCTCAAACAAATTTAAAAAAATTAAAAATTACAATTCCCTTAATCTGTTCATATAACGTTTTTCTGTATAATCAACAGTTTTAAAAAAATTTAATATTTTAGGCAAAAAATATTTGGTTTCTTCATACATTTATTTTTACCGGCAAAACTGTTGATTATATAGTCTTTCCATACAGTTTCGAGCCCGAATATGACAAAAATTAAAATTGGTTTGGCCAGTCGTTTCCGGATTTCGAAACGGCGTCATTAGCCATGGCTGTAGTGGATATCCAGAATCTCCAATCAGCCAACTTGTATTTGCATCACGACTATATTGTCTTTCCAAAAACTCCTTGCATTTACTGTTTTCCCATATGAATGCATCATGGGTACTACCACCAAAACGTGCATTGCCAGCCAATATGTTAAGGTTGTATTCGCATAATAATTGCACATTTTTTGAAAAATATCCTTTTCTATTAATATAGCAGCTCTCAACATCGGCTCTTGGCTTTTTAATCTTTATGTGCGTGCAATCAATAGCATCAATGCACCCAAGAAAACCAGTAGCAGAAAAAAAGCTGGAAAAGAAATGACCAACACGTGCACATGAGAATGTGCAGACTTATAATTATANCAAGAAAACCAGTAGCAGAAAAAAAGCTGGAAAAGAAATGACCAACACGTGCACATGAGAATGTGCAGACTTATAATTCTTTGATCCTCCAGTGTAGTTGGAAATTTAATATAATTGCACATCAACTTTTCTTCTATGATGTATGTAACTTCTTTTATAGAACGACAAACCATTGTTTTACTTAAAGAGCAAACGAAATCCTGGCCAACATCCCTTAAAAACGATCCCGTTGCAAAGTAATGCAGTGCTCCAGTCATCCTTAGTGCCTTTGGAATAAACGTGGCTCTTTCTCCGTTTTTCATAAAAGGACTTATTTCATTCAATAGAGCAATTGCAGCTTCTTTTTTAAAGCGAAAAAGCTCTTCAAACCGAGCTTCTGGTAAATGAAATGGGTCAGTTGCATCCCTTAAATGGCGTCTATGAACTCGTAACATATTCCTTTGGTCAGTTGCCAAAGCAATTAATGCAGCTGCTAGCATAATTTTAAGCTAGAGAAGATTAAGAATTATATGTATGTATGTACAATATGTATGTGTGTATACATATGGGTATAATTGCACTTACTTGTTAACTAATCAAAAACACACAAACAAATGGCGGATTTATAATTAATATTCCAACTTTTAACTTTTATTTAACGTAAACAAGACAATTTCGCGCTAGAAATGACAGACGGTTTGTTCCATTTCAGTCGTACCATCGATATGTTAACAACTAACCACAATCATATCGCAAGGTGAATTTTCTGAGTTATAGAAACACTTTTCATATTGATTTCGATACGAGCCTTGCGATCACAAATCATTCGTTATTATATCGCAAAGTTACAGAAACGGGCTACAGATATTTTTTAAGTTCGAAATAAAAGTCTTTCCGGATAGTAAACAAACCGCTTATCCAAATTAAAAAAATTTAGTACCAAATGAAAGAGGACTTAAATAGCTTTTAAACAGAAATAACGATCGAAGGCGACCACTTCTATTTATATATTTTTTTTATAAAATAATACAAAAGAAATGCATTTCCCTGTCCCAAGGTTTGTTCTATGGTAATTAAAAAACATTTTTTATTTAAATATTTTTCAATAGCTGGCTTTCTGCTGGCTTTTTTCGTTTAAATATTTCAGTTTTAAAGATATTTTAGTCCCTTTCAGTTGATACCAAACTTGTTTACTTTGAATAAGCGGTTTATTTATTATTAGGAAAGGACTTTTATTTTCGACTTAAAAATATCTGGATAAGTTTAGCTGTTGAAAAAAGGTTACTGTTATTTACGGTCCTGGTTTATTCATATCGCCCGCATATAGCTATCGATATCGGCCGAGCACAATTCTGCCGATGCCGGCAGCAGTGTGCGCTTAGTGTAAAATTCGTATAGTCAAAATACCGTTCACAATTATTTGCATTCGCGTATAATTATTGAAAGTTATAACAACTATCAGCTTTTTGTGTTCGCGTACGCAAAAACTTCCAAAGTAGGGGAAATTGAGAGAGCAAAATGACATTTAATTTTGAGGGAAAGCTGTTACTTTCTGCTGGAAAAATTTTATCCAACAANCAATTTGCCAACAAGAAACCAACTGACTGGAATTTACGCAATTCCATAAATTAAATTTAATGGTTTGGAAGATAAAATAGTTAGATGCGACTAATTAAACTTGTAAGAAGTAAGTAATTATTCGTTTAGTCAGTGAACTGTCAGGCTAAGACTTCGGAATTAGTTTTCTTACGTTTTCAATTGCATACTTTTGAACGTAAACAAAATTTCTATCAGCTGTTCGTCTAACTTGCAAGTTTCTGTACATTTTCTGTTCGCGCACTGTTTTGGATATTTTTCTTTTGCGAGAGAACAGATGAAATTTTTTACTGGAGATTTTAAACGAGCATACCAATTGACTAACCAAAATTTAACAGAACTGTTACGAACGGCTTCAACTGACGTAAAACCAGATTTTGAAAATTTGGCCAAAGGAATCTTTTCAATTTTCTTTAATATCTGTCTTACGTACATTAGAATAATAATAAAATTAATGTTTTTCATTTCCAATAATAATTTTAATTAAAAATAAAATGTTTGCTGTTTTTTTTTTTTTTTGTGGCTCTTTGAAGCATTTAGAATTTACATGTGGCTCTTTTCGGTCTCGGCCTTGCCCACCCTTGGTATATAAGTACATGGAGAAAAATTACCCAACACCGAGCCACCGAGTATCAAGCTCGAGTGGAAAGACCCTTTTGTGTTATTGCTTTAATAAAATAGTTTTATTTAGTTTTATAATTCATTTCAATTTCATGCCTTTTTACTCTTTTATTTTGCTCTAATTATAGCATTTTAAGCTCCAAATGATTCTAGTTTTTTAAACTGAAGTTTTGGCCTCCCGATTTCTAATTTTTGCTTCTCAACCTCTTTCGTCCATTAAAATTATTTTCGATTTCTAATTTTAGCTGATTTTCTTGGAAATTAATTCGCTAATTTTCCATGCTAGCCAGTTTATCAATTGAGGTGCTTTTGGTTAAACGCTTAACTTTGGTTGCATACGTGGTAACTAGAGATAAGGTGCTCGTTTCATCACTTGCCGGAAAGCGCTCGTCCTCTAACTCAGTCGCATTGAGTGTACTGCAATCGAAAACATCGGTTGCCGTGTCCATTACAACAACTTCAATTTCCGTCGTGTCGAAAAAATGTCGGAAACTTGGCCGAAATGTGGGCATTTTTTAAGCACTTTTTCTATACATAAAAAAAATTTGAAGCTATTGTGACAAAATGCACAGAATAGCATTTGCGTACCTCTAATGGTAGTTACACTTTAACCATCCTCCAGGCCAGCACCGGTAGAATTGCTCCATCCACCGATGTTTTGCAAGGTGCCTTTTTGGTGGCGAACATTGCACTTACACTACTATGATTAGGAGCCTAATGTGCGGAGTACCTAAGGC